CTATTATGTCCAGTATGCAGTGGATAATTTTTATTATGACTTTCTGCTGTTATGAAGATTACTGCTGAGGCATACACACCATTCTTCAAGATGGAAGTAAAGATGGAAGTCAGAGAGCCACAAGAAATAAGGACCGGGGAGAGTCACTGTCAAGAGCTCATGTTGTGCACTGTTCTACGTCCAGCTGCTTAAATACATTGATGCACAGTCACCCCTCGGGATTCACAGTCCCACTTGACATACGGAAAACAAGGCCTAGAAAGTTTAAGAGCATCTTATTCAAGACCCTGTTCTGATAAGCACTAAAATCAGAGTATAAGCTGACAGTCACCAAAGAATTCAAACCCCCAACCCCCATAAAATGCTCCAATAAACAGTGAAGACCTGCGGCAGAGATGAGGGCGAGGGGTGGAGAGCAGTTACTTCCTGGCCACTGAGGCGAAATTTTAGGGTCCTTGTTCTCAGTTCTAATTTTGTTTTCTTTTCTCCAAAGGTGACTTAATATTATAAATGATTTTAACAACACTTTAACTACTAAAATACAGTAAATATTTACTAGAGAATATAATATGAAATCAGGGAATTCTCGTTAATTATTTTTGACATAGGAAAAAAGGTTTTAATGTTATTTCCTTGGAGAAAATCTCTCAAATTCAGTTATGGAAATGGTGCAGATACCTGTATAGGTGAGAGAGAGCGAGCGCGTAATTGTTAAAGAGGACATTCAAGTTAATGCGTGAGCAATGGATTGGAGAGTACACCCGATATTTATTAGACTTACTCATCCTACAAGTCTGTTTAAATAGGCATTAGCGCCCAACGCTTCCAGGTGAGACCCATTAAGTAGCTCGCTTCATTTGTTAGACCAAGGGAAAGGTAGCACTTAGCACCGGGGTGAGACACACTCACCCAGCTTCGGGATTTGTCTAACAAGCCACGTTACCTCGTTGGTCCTGACATGCAAAATGATCTGTGGGGAACAAGTGTGTTGGCCGTTCGATACTCCAGGAGCAATGAAGACGGCCATAACCATACGCATTTTCAGTCATTTGCAAAACGTTTAACGCTGAGACATAATCTGCGTGTGTTTCTTTAGGTACACCTGCTTCGTAGTTTAACGATGTAAGCTGGAGATGGAGCAGAAGCTCAAGTGTCTCGCAGCTGTAGTGGGGAGATTCATCCGGTGAGGGTGTGACTGCGTCTGTCCGACTAGGAGCCTCTGGAGTTCTCTGACCTTAACATAGACAGTCTGACAAAAGCTGGATGATAGCAACTACTGGCTGTTTTTCAAATTTAGGGGGCAATGTAGCAGCCATTTTTATTTGTGGAATTTGTAGTAGGTCACTTTTGTTGGTAAAGTGAATTGAGTAGCATTTTAATTACCTATCTCACACCCACTAGGTATTAAGCTGACCGCAGACACTGCAGTATGTTTATCTTCATATGCCCATTACTAAACGGTGCCAATTATAGAGTCCAACAAATATTTGAAGAAAGAACAGCAAGAATTAATTCACTTTCATTTCATTTATAACTTGATTCCTATGACAAACTCATTTTGGAATAGAGACTCTAATTAGGCTATTTTACAGATAATGCAAATTATGTTTGGAGAAACATTACTTCATTATCCAAATTCTTTTCCAGATGACACAACCTGTTTTTGTTTTAATAGAATCTTCTTCCCAATTTTTCATCTTGGTAACTTTTTTAAAATTTATTTTCAGTTTTTTTTTTTTTTTTTTTTTTTAGCTCCCACAAACTGCACGTCCCGGCACCTGTAATGCAATAAGAAACATGTAGCTATAACTAACCAATATTTGCAGATCAACACAACATGCTGTTCGTGTTTCTTCTAAAGCTAACATAGATGTTGTGTCAGATTTGCTTCGCTGATCTGTCTAGCTGCTGTGTGAAGCCGTCGCTGATTAAAAAATTCAGTGGCAGTTAAATTCAGCATCTGCATGACCGTCTTCCAGGTGATTAAGAACTATGTGTTCAGAAAGGTACAAACGGTTACCCTTTGGGTGGGATTAACAAGGGTTATGTAATTTGGACTAAACCTTGAATTATGAGAATTAAAAGGAACAGAGAAGGAGAATACTCCAACCGAGTGAGTAATGCAGCATGCACTTGGGAGACAGCAAACTCTTGAGGAACATGGGCCTTGCACGTGTGAGCTGACCTGGCGTGGAGAGCAGGCAGCTCAGTGCCAGGCACAAAAGTCAATGGCAGTGTGTGAAGATGACCGCTGTGAGATTTCTGAATGACTGCCAAGAGGCTCAGACATTAATGGACAGAGTGTATGCAAAGGTATGCAAATCCTGATTACGCCTGGTCAGGCTGCTTAAGGACCAGACTGTAATGCCTGCAAGACAAAGAGCTACTCAAAACAAAATTCTCATCCAGCAACAGTAGAACGCATAGCACACACGAGTAATGCAAATGCTACCAGTTCTTTGTTTTCTTCTGGGCGGAGTGGGGCACAGGCAGGCTCCTCACGATGAAAGATACCTGGTTCTGCAAGACACTTCTATCCAGTGTCCTGCGCAGCATTGGGGATATACCTTCACCTCTCCCAGGCAATGTTTCCTGATTCAGAAAGTGAAATGTTTGCTTTCAGGATCAATGTTGCAAGGATTCATTAATAATTCAGTGCATTGTCAAAACCAAGCATTTCAGCAGTGAGAGTTCTTTCTTGCTCTTTCTCCAGATTTCATGAGTGCCTTCGTTTTGGGGCATCAGAGGTCCATGGGCTACTGGTTTCGTAACACATGTGTCTATTCACCCTTAGTCCTGACTTAGACTTTGTCTACCACAGTGTCCACTTCTTAAATTCAGGGCTGAGGTGTTGCTGTGTCCCTAACTGCCCGACGACTGAGCAGACTAATGAGTAGGAAGTGCATCAATGAATGATCAAAGTCTTCACAGCATGAAGCAAAATGTGTGTAGTTCTATGCCAAAAGCACAATATCGGTTTAGTTCAAATTTCTTTTAATCTTCACTTCACTTGCGCTGTCTCAAACTGTATTTGTGGACCAAGAGTCACTGTTTGCAAGTTTTCTATTTTATAAATCAGTCCCTGAAGAACAGACCTTCTAATCTATAGCTTCAGACTTTATGCAATTACCACAGAAGGTCTCTCAATAAAGCAATTTTGCTCTTGTAATTTTGCAAGACCCTTTAAAGATGTATTCGAAAAGTACCAGTAAATAGAGAAAAAAATCACACCAAGTGAAATTCGAACAGATCACTTGTTTTTCCCAAGTCCTTCATCTTAGCTGGGGGCAAACAGCAGGGCAGTTGCCCGAGAAGCGGACACACTGCCCTACTTCAGCACGTGCCGGCGCTCTGACAGAGCAGCCTCTCAGGCCCATGGGCCCCAAGGAGACCCCGTGCCTCGGGGAGGCTGACTCGGGAAGGGCGGGGCAAAAGGCATCAAAGGAGACAAAGGTGTTTCCAACTACCAAAACCGTTTCACTGAGTAATTTTTTGCACGGAAACGTGTTCTGTGTAACGCAGCCCCACGCTCCTTAGAAAGTCCGCGGTGATGTGGGGGATTAGAAAGACGAATGCAGTGACTGTGCATGCCGGTGGGGCCTGGGAACGCGAAGTCACAGCACCCTTGTTCTCCTTGATGCCCGCAGCTTTCCCGCATTGGGTGGAGAGGCTGAACGACACCCAGCTAGACAGCGGCAGCCCGCTGCGGTGGGAGTGCAAGGCAGCCGGCAAGCCGCGGCCCGCCTACCGCTGGCTGAAAAACACCGCCCCGCTCTCGCCTCAGGTACTGTGCCAGCGCCCTCCCGTCCCGGGTAAGCTCTGCAGGCCCGTGCAGGACAAGCTCCTCCTCACTCTCGGGAAGCCTTTGCTTACCGATGGCTTGGCATGTGTTGGCGTCGAAAGGTAACGCACATACGAAACAGCTCGCTTTGTCTTACTCCGTCCCTTTCTCAGCGGTGCTGTCCTGCTTTTTATGGTTTTATTCAATCCTATGAAGTCATAGGAAACGGTCAGCAATTTTTCCCGACTCTGCTACTTGTAGCTGCTTTCTGGAGATAGCCTGCTTGTGGCTCTCACTTTGCGATAACGGAATGAATCCTCGGCAGGAAGGTGACGGGTCCAAGATCACGGAGGTATGAAACGGTGAAGTCGAAATAGAGTTCTACTCTGTCACGTTCTGGGCAGGGCCTTTCCGTGACGTCTCTGCTGCCGGTAGACACAAGTGACCTTTCCGTCAGTCTACTGCAGGCCTCTGACACATAGCTACTGCACGTGAAAACAAATCAATTTTATTTAATTTCAAAATAATAGGTCAGTGATGGGTCAGAATTTTTCCTAACTGCCTGCCTCGTTGCGGCTCGGCAGAAAGGGCAGAGAAGGAACAGCTCGGGCTGGCCGGCGTGGAGGGAAGTTTCTGCGGTTGAAATCCCGCTCGTGTCCGTGACGTTCTGCCTCTCCCGGGGCTTTTACAACTCTGGGTTTCAGTTTGCCCCTTTGTAAGATGAGACTGGATCTGGCGGCCCCGCAGGCCTACCCAGCCCTGCAGGCCCTTGTTCAGAAGCCATGAGGTTGACGCGAGACACGGTCACCCACAAGGACAGACCCAGATGAGAACTATGGAGCTGCTGAGGATAAGTGTGTGTGTGTGTGTGTGTGTGTGTGTGTGTGTGTGTGTGTGTGTTGGGGGTGGCAGGCGTTGACTCTTCGCCCCTGTCTCCCGTCCTCCGGACACCCGAGAAGCCTTGAGAGGGGACAGTGCTGTCCTGTACCTACTCCCAGTGCCCAGGGAAAGCAAATCCCACCGGCAGCTGGCACAGCTGGCACAGCTGCCGGTGCACCCTGCTGGGAGAGTGATGCCTGCTGCCGAGGCACCTCTGTTGATGGCTTCAGCGCTCTGCCCACTGAAGCGAGGCGAGTGGCTTGCTGGGCCTGCAGCACACCTACATGCCCGGTGGCTCAGCAGCATTTAAACTTTAGATTCTGCTTCTGAAACGGGCTCTGGCCGCCGTCACCTCGCTTTGCACACGCTCAGCTTCTGACTTGTGCACTTCTCCGTCTCCTCAGGAAGCTTATGCTTTCTGGTCCGTAGTGTAAACAGCATTTCATGTACAGCCTGGGCTTCGTGTGTTTGTTGGAAGAGAGAGAAAAGGAGACTCGCGAGGGCCTCTCGTGCCGACCTGGGCTATTTTTAACCTTGAGCCCGCGTGTCTCCGCCCCCTGTGCTTTCTCCCGTGGGCGCACCTGCTTCTCCTTTGTGAAGGTTGTGTCAAGTCCACGTGAGAGCATTCCCCGCTGATTGCACTCCACACGCTCAGCTAGTCGGCCAAACAAAAGCTGAGCGTCAACAAAACTGCAAGTAAAACTCATAAGAAATGCACAAAAATATATATTTTAGAAGAAATATTACAATTTGCAAGATGACTTATAATCAAATGGAAGGCGGTATATCTACGTTGCTAAGTTGTCAAATAACTCAGCGGCATTAATAGGAGGTTTTTTGGTCGAGTGCTCAACTGCAGACTCTATGACGTGTTCACTCTTTCTGTCTAACTTTTGATATTCCATTACAGAGTAGAGTGGAGATGGTTAACGGAGTATTGGTGATCCACAATGTGAATCAGTCAGATGCTGGAATGTACCAGTGTGTGGCGGAAAATAAATACGGAGCCATTTACACGAGTGCTGAGCTGAAGATTCTGGGTATGCAATTTCTAAGTAAATAAACAGAAACATAGTGCCAGGCTCCAAGTCTCACCATACTGAAGTTTTATGATGTGACTATAAAAACCTATTTTATGTCTTGAAAAGAAATAATGTCTTGCTGATATACTTTTCTGTAAGCTTTAAGGGACAAGTTTATATTGTGTATAGCTTGTCCCACAACTTTTTATGAGGTTTTTCTAACTAGTTTTAGTCAAAAGATGTGCACACTATGTCTTTTCTATGACATTTCAAAAATCTGTAGGAAATATATGTCAGCTTTCAAGGTAGACTGTCTTGAGGGTAGCAGATAAGAAGGTGCAATTCCCAGCAGCCTCTCCCTGCTTCCACAGCAAAGCGTAATATTTCCCCAGACAGCCACAACCCACCAGTACTCGGTGACTCCTGCGAAGCCAGGCTCCAGGGTTAAGCACCCAGCGCCCCGGGGCGTGAGCCAGCACTGTCCTTCCACAGCAGGGGAGAGCCCCTCTGAGGCCCGCCGGGCACCCCAGGGTTACACTGATAACTTGTGCCAGCCCCCTAAGTAATGCGGAAAAGGTTCCAGTCAGTGGAAGAGGCTGCCCAGCCCGACCATGTTCTTGGATCACAACAATGGATTTCCCTTTTCCTCCTGGTGTTCTCCTGAACTTTGGGGTTTGGGATGCTTATAACAGCCCCCCCCCCAAAAAAAATTCTTTTGAAGACACATGTCGTTTGTAATTAAAGGTTCAGGATCTTCCCCGTCGGGACTTGTGCCTATACGGCCCCACCACCAAAACACCCCAGATCACCCCTACTCCCCCCATAGCCCACTGCCCCTCACCCACCCTCCCCCTCTGGAGCCTCAACTCTGCAGTTAGAGTTCTAGGGTTTGTGATAGTTGGGCTGTATCTGACCTTGCTTCGCCTCTCTGTATCCCACATGCAAGTGACACAGTTTGCTGTTTGTCTTCTTGCTTATTTCACTACGCCAGTCACCTCCAGTTCCGTCCATGTGGCCACCAGTGACAAGTCTATCTTATAGCTGAGTAGCTGTGGGGATCTTCCTGGATCCTAATATGCTCCCAGTCCGGGAAGACCCCCACGACTGCTCGCGGCACTGAGGCCGTTCCCGTAGGTCGGCTGTGATAATGGCGCCGTGGTGAGCACAGGTGTGCACGCTCTCTTCCGGGGAGTGCGTTTGTGTGCTGCAGGTAGACACCTGTTAGTGCAGCGGCTGGGCCATGGCGTAGGTACCTGCGACACTGTGTCTAGCACCGAGGCCGATCAGTTCACTCCCATCAGCAGAGGAAGAGGGCTCCTTGCTCACCGCATTGTCTATGCATCTCCACCAGCGCTCGCTTCCGGCCTCTCTGAGGCCCTCCGTCACCACACCAGTGCTAGCTCACTGTCATTCTGATTTGCATTTCTCTCCAGGTAAGCGAGGAAACCTTTCCCTCACTCTTGGGGAAAGAGCCTCCTTAGCGTTTTGCCCCTTTTGATCGAGGTGTTCCCTTGTATTGAGTCGCGTGAGATCTTCATAGGTCTTGGGGGCAGCCCCTCGCCAGTCGTATTTTCCCTCGCTCAGCGGATGTCGTTTCGCCGTAGTAATAGTTTCTTTCGCTGTGAGGAAGCTTTAGTTTGATGCAATCCCATAGTTTATATTCTGGTTTCTTTTTCTTGATCTTAGAGACAAACCCGTGAGCCCGATTATGAAGCCTGCCTCTTGGCCTGCTTTGCGTTTTCTTCTACGCATTTTGCGGTTTTCAGTCTGGCATGCAAGTCTTCTGTCCACTTTGAGTTAATTTCTGCGAATGGTGTGAGACAGCAGCCTAGTGCCATTCTTCTGTGTGTGCCTGCCCAGCTCCCCACGCTATTTTTGAAGCACCCTCCCTTTCTCTTCTATATAATCTTGGCTCCTTTGTTACAGATTACGCAGCGATGCCAGGCCCAGAGCGCAGGCACACACCCCTCTTGGTGTGTACAGGTGTGCACACCACGCCAAGATACTATCAGTAATTGTAGCATTTTTGTAAATGCTTATTGACTCTAAGTTAAAGATCTTTTCAATTTTAGTCACCAATTTCAGTAGCAATAACTATACAGAGGGAGCTTACAGATGTGGGGATTAACTATACAGTATTGCTGGGATTCACACATTGGGGTGTCTCAAATGGTAATCGCACAACTTCAGTAAATTTGAGCATGTACATAGAAAAACTAAGAAATATCTGGAATTGTTTGACTTGGAATGCGTGTCTCAGAGTATAATTATAGATATGGTACCTTTCAGATGCACGTTTAGATTCAAGAGTCTTGCTAAAAGAATAGTAAAACAATTGGAATGTAATAAATGATTAGAACTAGTGAATCATTTTAAGCAATCTATACAATTTTGATAGAATTTTAATTACAGTTGGAGTCGATCATCATATTGAAGCATCTTACATTCTGAAACAGGCTTTGGCTGTGAGCCACACAGAAAGAATAACCAGTCAAATATGCGATTGCTCTGTAGCACCTTTACCGTGGGTGCATATCTATATTATCAAATGTGCTCCCCCCAAAAAAACCGTGTGAAATTGTGATGAATCGTCCATTAGACCTGGGTCACTACTTACATAAACCTTTCTCATTCCATAGCCTCAGCTCCCACTTTCGCACTAAATCAACTGAAGAAGGCAGTCATTGTCACCAGAGGCCGAGAAGTCTCCATAGAGTGCAAACCCCAAGGCTCTCCAAAACCAGCCATCTCTTGGAAGAAGGGAGACAAAGCAGTTAGAGTGAACAAAAGGTTAGAAATCTATTTCATAATTCAGATGTGCAAAGCATGTGAGAATCTTGAGAGCTATTGAATGAATTGATTGAAACACGGTTTTGCCTTTTGATTTAAAAATTACTCAAAGTCCGGCTTCAGCATGGTCAGAATTTCTCCTTCGCGGTACTACAGCACCAGTGGAGACTTTTTGGGGTTACAAAGAAAGCCGGTATTTCCGTTAAGCTAGTTAGTTTTGGTTTTCATTTGAGTATGCATATTTGGGGGTTCATGCACAAGTTATGAGAATTTTTAAGAGTCACATTTTCATTCCGGTGTTCATTTTTAAATGATATAAACATACTCTGGGATTTTCTGGTATCACTTCCAGGTGATGCCTTGACTGTGTTGCCGTCTTGATCATAATTGTGTCGATGCAAAATAGTATAGGGTTACGCTTATTGCCACAGGAAAAAGGGATGTGTTGGTAGTAGTTAACGTGTAGACTTTTGTCTTTGGCAAGTCAAATATTTGCCTTGACTGGCCAAGAGAATCACAGGTGCATAAATGGTGAAAAGTGATGTAAGAATGCAGTCATAACCAAAGGTCTATATAGGCCAAAGTTACAAGGATAAAGGATATATACCTTGACATTTATGTGTTGTGTTGTTATAAACACATCTTATATTCAGTCTGTTACGTCATTTATATAATTACATTGTTAAAGTTATTTAAGTCGGCATCAGGGGTCTGTTTGAACAATTCTCTAGGGAACTGTGGGGTGTTACAAAATATTTGAAAAATATCTTTATTTCCCACTCATATCTGAGAAACACTGATTCGGATGAAATCATTTGTGGCATGACTGGGTTCATTTCAGGAGCAAGTATCCATGTGTCTTGGAAAAGGTGGTCAGTAGACTTACCTGATGGACATACTAGACATCTGTTTTCATGGAATTCTCTTTCTTGCTGAGCACTGGAGAACATATTACAAGTGAGATCGCTGTCACATGGGGTCGAACTGCAAGTCTTTTAATTATTGCTCTTAGAAATATGAGGGAGAAAAGACAAACCTGTTACAAAACTTATTAAGGTACAAAAAAAATTGTATAGTGAACAACACCACAATTATATTGCTTGGTTATTGATTTCTTAGAATGCATTGAAAATTTTATATCGCCAGAATACTCGCTCACATGAGCCAAGCCATCCCTTTTCCAAGAGCATTCGGCTGCAGTGTGCTGACGGCAGCACAGGAGCCCTGCCCACTCATTTCAGTTCAAGCCAGAATGTTCCTCATCACTTATTCACAGGCCCCACATTATACCTTTACATAGCAGGTGGTATCTCTTTTGTCATAGCAAAGTATTGAGAGACAAGATCATGAATTTACTGTTACAACAGAGATGAGCATGACGGACTTTTTGTTTTCTAGAAGTTGGAAAACAGAGTTTCTGAATTTTCTAGTTTCTTGTTCCCTTTTCTCCTCAGTGCTAATCTCTTCCCAGATGGCAATATTCTGGTCAAGGTGTCAGTCCGGAAGGAGGTCAAGTGGGAAATATTCATGTTTTCATTGTGTTCATGTAAACAAAACTATTCCACATTTACTTAGTGCTTTGCCTGCCCATGCTCTATGGTTAGGTCTATAAACTGGTTTATTTAATAACCAAGTCCAAAGGCAGTATGAAAATAACACACACATTTGCAAAATACCATTAGTCCTGGTGTATAAATTGTTGCTACCTTGAGAAGGCCTGGTTTCACAAAGAGAACAATGTAGTTGAATTTGAAATACATACCTATTTAAATATTAAAATGAGAGCACGATTCAAATAATAATGGGAAGAATTCACAAAGCATATAAGAAGACACATGGATAGCTATTTGGAAACTCTATATTTTAAAAATATAAATGGAAAATGAAGTTTAGATAGATAGATGTTACACATATATTATCTCTCTCTATATATTATACCTTTCTTAAAATAGGATTTCAATCGCATTTAACAACTATGTTTTTATAAAATTTTAGATTTTCTTCTATAAAGCACACCAACCATTTGATCATGTAAATTCAAATGAAAAGGGCATTATCAGAAACTTGGTAAAGCTTTGCAAATTTTTATCATGTGTATCTCACAATGGGGCTATATATTTAAATCATGGTATGTTTGATTGAAATCACATATAGCAATATGTTCCCCATTCTTTCAACCTACAACTGGTTAAAAAATGCCAAATGAATTAGCCTTCTCGTGTGACAATCTTCACAATTACTTTCAGTTCTTTCCAAATTAAAGATTGGATCAGCAAATAGCAGCTCCCTCTATGGGCAAATAAAGACTAGAAATAGATAAAATTATACCCAGCATAAAATTAGATCCAGAGCAACAGCATAAAGTACAATAGAGAATTTTAATTATAAAATGAATACCTTCTAGTCGCCTGAAAACATGTCAAAAACTCAGAAGAAAAAAAAGTTGCATCTGGAATGGACTGTGATTTGGGGCTATACCACCCACACTCTGTTCTAACTGAGGGAGCACAGACAGACACCTGGAAGCCTGGAAGTCACTGGCTTTACAGCTGAAATTTGACTAATCACCTGGGTTTGTCTCATTTGTGTAGGATGGGGTCTCCAAACACCGTGTCTTTTGGATTTTTCATGAAGGAAGTACATATTCACTACCCTAAAATACAAAGTCTGATAAGTAATAACTAGACCATAATAGGACTTTTTAAAAAAATCTTACAAATGAGTGGGATCCTTATCTATTACACAAGATGTCAAGCATTTGGCTCAGAGTGGTCCCTGTAGAGTCTACATGAACTTGGGTATGTCAGAACGTGGTTTGTGGGTGCGGGTTGCATATGTTACAGAATGAGATGTTTACGTCACAGAATGGCCAGTGTGAACCATAAATGAGGCG